CTCATAAGGATCATTCAGCGCTACACTCACAAAGGTCATTCACTTCTAACGCTCACAAAGGCATTCATGCAGAGCGCTAACACTGCACAAAGTCATCAGCCGCTATACACTCACAAAGGTCATTCAGCTCTACACTCATAAAGGATCATTCAGCTACACTCATAAGGATCATTCAGCGCTACACTCACAAAGATCATTCAGCGCTACACTCACAAAGATCATTCAGCTCTACACTCATAAGGATCATTCAGCGCTACACTCACAAAGGTCATTCAGCTCTACGCTCACAAAGGTCATTCAGCGCTACACTCACAAAGATCATTCAGCTCTACACTCATAAGGAATATCTTCAAGAGCTACACTCACAAAGATCATTCAGCTCACACTTCATAAGGATCATTCAGCTCTTACACTCACAAAGGACATTCAGCTCTAAGCGCTCACAAGTGTCATCAGGCGCTACACTCAAAAGGTCCAGTCAGCTCCTACGCTTCACAAGGTCATTCAGCTCTACACTCACAAAGGTCATTCAGCGCTACACTCACAAAGATCATTCAGCGCTACACTCACAAAGATCATTCAGCGCTACACTCACAAAGGTCATTCACTCTACCTAACGCTCCACAAAGTCCATTCAGCTCTACACTCACAAAGGTCATTCAGCGCTACACTCACAAAGATCATTCAGCGCTACACTCACAAAGGTCATACAGCGCTACACTCACAAAGGTCATTCAGCGCTACACTCACAAAGTCATTAGCGCTACACTCACAAAGATCAAATTCAGCTCTACCTCACAAAAGATCCATTCAGCGCTACACTCACAAAGGAACATTCAAGAGCAGCTACAACTCACAAAGATCCATTCAGCGCTACACTCACAAAAGATCATTCAGCGCTACACTCACAAAGATCATACAGCGGCTAACACTCAACAAAGGGTCATTCACTCAACGCTCACAAAGGTCATTCAGCTCTAACACTCACAAAGGTCATTCAGCGCTACACTCAATAGACCTTCAGCGCTTACACTCACAAAGTCCATACAGCGCTACACTCACAAAGATCATTCAGCGCTACACTCACAAAGATCATTCAGCGCTACACTCACAAAGGTCATACAGCGCTACATACAGACTCACAAAAGGTCATTCAGCGCTACACTCACAAGAACCATTCCGCTCACCTCACGAAAGATATTCAGACGCTATACTAACAAAGATCATTCAGCGCTACACTCACAAAGATCATCAGCGCTACACACACAAAGATCATTCAGTACTCCCCAAAGTCATCAAGCGCTACACTCACAAAGTCATTAGCGCTACACCACAAAGGTCCATAAAAGCGCTACACTCACAAAGATATTCAGCGCTACCTCACAAAGGACATTACAGGCGCTACACTCACAAAGGTTATACAGGGGCTACACTCACAAAGGGTATTCAGCGCTAGACTCATAAGGGTCATACAGCGCTAAAAACGGTCACAAAGGTATAAAAGGCGCTACACTCAAAAGATCATACAGCGCTACCTCACAAAGGTCTTACAGGCTACACTCAAAGGGTCATTCAGCCTCGCCAAGGTTACGCGTACACTATAGGTCAAAACAGCGCTACGCTCACAAAGGTCAATACAGGCTACACTCAAAGATCATACAGCGCTACCTCACAAAGGTCATACACCTATCGCCCTAGCACTCACAAAGGTGCATTTAGGCTAAACCCAACAAAGATCATTAACAGCGCTAACCCTCACAAAGGTCTCAGGCTAAAACTCACAAAGATCATTCAGCGCTCACTCAAAAGATCATTCACGCTACACTCACAAAGGTCATTCAGCGCTCACTCACAAAAGATCATTCAGGGGTACATCCTAAGGATATACAGCGCTACACTCATAAGGATCATTCAGCGCTACACTCAAAAGGTCATACAGGCTACTCCCTAAGGATCATACAGCGCTACACTCACAAAGGTCATACAGCGCTACACTCATAAGGATCATACAGCGCTACGCTCACAAAGGTCATACAGCGCTACACTCAAAAAGGATCATTCAGCGCTACACTCATAAGGATCATACAGCGCTACACTCACAAAGGTCATACAGCGCTACACTCACAAAGTCATACAGCGCTACGCTCAAAAAGGTCAACGCGCACCTCACAAAATCAACAGCGCTACGCTCAAAAAGGGTCATACAGCCCCCGCTCACAAAGGTCATCAGCCTACGTCACAAAGATCTACCGTACGCTACAAAGGCATACAGCGTACGCCCAAGGTCATACAGCGCTACCTCACAAAGGTCATACAGCGCTACGCTCACAAAGGTCATACAGCGCTGCTACACTGAGCATGCGAGCATGTTGCAAGGGCTGGTAATACAGAAAGGGGAAAAATCATCCCGAAAAAAAAATCATTCAAGTCCCTTTCGGAAGAAAAGCCAGACAAATTGTGCCTCTTTGTATATTTGCAGTGTGATGAAAAGACCAAATATTAAATCAAAATACGTTACTTAAAATGCCACAATCAGTTCTAACTGCGGCACAGTTACTAATTTTTTTCTTACAGTAAAGTAAAACCCCAAAAAAAAAAATTTTTTTTTTAAAATTTTTTAAAAAAAAAAAAAACTGAACTTTGAACAGTTAAATTTTATGGCTGAAATCTTTTTTAAAAAAAAATGTCCTTTTAAAAGGAAAAAAACGTCTCTTCTTAAAAAAAAAATTGCCTTTTTAAAAAGTTCCTTTTTAAAAAAAATTCAATTAAAATTAAAAATTTCCCCCTTTGGGGCCAAATTTATTTTTAGAAGGGACAAAAGTATCAGAACGTATAAAAAAAACCAAAAAATTTCCCCTTTTGTAAAAATTTTCTCTTTTCCCCCGGGGTTCCTTTTTCAAAAAAATTAAATCCCAACGAGGAAGGAAAAAAAAGCATTTCAAACCTCCACAACTTAGGGGAAAAAAATTTGGAACTTTTTAAAACAGTTTTTACAACAACTCCCTTAAGGGGGGAAAAAACTTTCCTCCCTCCATGGGGAAACATCGGCCCCCCTTAAAGATCCATACTTTTCTCCTTTAAAATGATTATTTACTATGATTTCCCCATTTACTTAAAAATCTTTTATTTTTTTTTTTTTTTTTTTTTTTTTATTTTTTTTTTTTTTTTTTTTTTTTTTCCCTTTTTTTTTTTTTTTTTTTTTAAAATTAAAAAATTTTTTTTTTTTTTTTTTTTTTTTTTTTTTTTTTTTTTTTTTTTTTTTTTTTTTTTTTTTTTTTTTTTTTTTTTTTTTTTTTTTTTTTCCTTTTTTTTTTTTTTTTTTTTTATTTTTTTTTTTTTTTTTTTTTTTTTTTAAGGTTAAATAAAACACAAAAAGGTAGCAAAAACTTTAAATCCAACTGGTTTAAAAAGGAAAGAAAAAACTCCCGTTAAAATGTTTTTTATCTCCTCCCGGGTTTTAGTTAACCTTTTTTTAGGAAGGAGGAGGGGGAATTAAGTCTAAACCAAAACTTTCCCCCCTTTCTTAAAACACAGATTTACAAACGTGACGCCATCTAACTTACTGGGGGGGCCCCCAATTGGGGGATTAACTTAAAGGAAAACGAATTTTAAAAGGGGGAAAATCCCAATTATGGGAATCCCCCTTTGGGGAACCCTTTTTGAGAGAAAAATCAAAGAATTAAAAATTTTTTTTAAAATTCTTTTTTGGCCTTTAAGTATGCTTTTAAACGCAAAAAAAAAAACCCAATACTGGAAAAAAATTTTTAAAATTTCCAAAGGTTTTATTCCCAAAAGGAAAAAATTTTTTTAAACACTAAATTCCTGGACTCCGGGAGAAAAAAATTCAAAAATTTTTGAAATAAACCAAAAATTTTTTTTGGGTTTTTAAAGACAATTTCAAAAAAATCCATGGAAAATTTTTTCCTATCCCCATGGGAAAAAATTCCAAAAGAATTAAAAATTAATCCCAAATGGGGGGTTTAAAAAAAGGAACGGAGGGGACAAATTTTAAAACCAAAGCAAAATTTTAAAATTTTAAAAACAAGTTAGTTTTTTAAAAAAAAAAATATCTTTTTAAAAATAAGAAAATGTAAGGAAAATTTTAAAGAATTATTAGATGGGGTAAAGGGGGGAAAAGAATAAATTTTTAAGTAAAATTGAAAATTTTTTTTTTACAGAAAAAAACGAGAAGAAAAAAATCCTTTTTGGGAAATGAAGGGGGGAAGGTGTAAAAATCTAAGGAAAAAAAACCCATGTATGTACCAGTTAAGAATTTTATTTCATAGTGGTAAGTGAATATAATACAAAGAAAAACGGTGCAAAAATTGGAAGACATGTAGTGAAGGATAGGTATAATTCAGAGAGCTAAAGAAGATTTTTTAAGATAAGTTGGTCACAGAAAGTGAGAGTTATGAGGACGAGGTTGTATACAACAGAAGTGGATGGAAGATGTGCGGAACGTCCAAGGGTAGAGACAAGGATGTGAACGTAACTTGAAGTCGTAGGGGTTTCATGCTTCCAAACCCCTCAAGGGATGCTCCTTGACGCTGCTGAGGGGCTCTTGATCTAGGGAATTGGATATGTGCTCCGGTTCCCTGAATTAAGCCTGAATACCTTCCATTCCCCCCCCCCCACATGCACTGTATAATCCTACGGGTTTAGCGCTTCCTTGTGATTATAATAATAATATGCTTCCAACACACACGTGTAAGTGGTTTGAGGTGAGTGGATCTAAAAGTTGCAACGAATTGAACATGACGATGAAATCAGATTTCGTCACGTTTCTTACATGAAAGTTTTTCAATAGTTATGTAATTTTTTTCTTACAACACAAGTAAGGAACTTTTCATTAACTAGAGAATAAAGACCTCTGTTTTCTAAGGACATTTATCATTATCTTAAATTGTAGTAGTCCTGACACACTCATAATAAATTGCTGGGCATTTTGAGACCCTAACATCGCTACAAGTAATTAATATTCTTCCTTCATTTCTTTACAGTAATTCCAAAATGCCGACTTACCAGCGGATGTTTAGTTTTATGGAGTCCCAAAATCCTTCCGTCTACACCAAGTCCAATGAAGAGGGGGTCAAAAGGGTACAGAAGGGCGACGGGCAGTACGCATTTATGATGGAGTCTTCCAGTATAGAATACATCACTGAGAGGTACTGCGACCTCACACAGGTTGGAGGACCTCTTGACTCCAAAAGTTACGGCATTGCACTCCCTCCAGGTGAGTTGCAATCGATTCTGACCGTCAAAAAGTCACATCAAATTTGATTTACTGTTAAATTTCATATAAATCTTGATTCTATGAATGTTTTTACGAATATATATTATTTCTCTTGTTTGTTCTAGTCAGGTACATTTGACCACGGAGAGTGATAACACACTCCGGCTTTGTTTTAATAAAAATACTTCGTAATATTTATCTCTATTCAGTTAGGTGTAGGAAAAAGTATAGCCATAACACATAAAATTACAGTTAGTGATAAACATTGCCATTAAATAATAATAATAATATTATACAAATAACCGGCACATAAGAAAGAGACGCTTACGACGACGTTTGGGTTCGACTTGGACCAAGACAATTCGGTAGTTGTTATTGATCGCGAAAATTACCTCCGCTACCTACCTTTATAGAAAATATGGAAGGTTTCAAAACTGTTCTTCTTACTAGTGGTGTGCGCCCTTCCTTCTGGCTCCACTATGTAGACGACATCATTGCTCTTTGGCCCCATGACTCTAGTATCTTCCAACCATTTCTCGATGTCATTAACAGTGTTGCTCCTTCCATCAAATTCAAAGCTGACTGGGAATCTAACCGTTTGTTTTCTTTCCTTGACGCACATGTCCATCGCACAGCGTCGTGTACAGCTGCGGAAAAAAATTCCTGGACAGTCTCTCTTCAGCAAACATGCTATCAGGCAACTCAGACATCGTAAACAGAAGAGTAAAGGATATTTTCATGAATAAATTAGCGCAGTTTGTAAGGATGATGGTGATTGGTTGACAAAATTAATTGCCGGTACTTTCTGTGCATCTCAATAGAAGAAGATTTAGGAATGCATACATTAATTAATTACTGTTCCCATATTATATACATTGTTATAAAAATATAAATATGATTTGAAAAGATGACCGAATGGAAAATATGATGACTGATAACAAGTCCGTAATTATGATACGTTAATCATATCTACTTACGTCAAGCAGAATTTTGACGGGCGAGGTCCACATAATGTCTTACTGAATACTGTTAATTGGTATAATATATTTTTTAATTAATAGTCCACTAATCAAGAAGTTCTTTAATAATACTAAGTTGTAGCTAACTTTCTATGTTCTTATTGTACAAAAATAATAGCGTTCACCTGTTTAAGGCTGAATATATACATATATATATATATATATATATATATATATATATATATATATATATATATATATATATATATATATATATATATATATATATATATATATATGTATGTATGTATGTTGCATGCACGTGCTATTTTTATTGTTCATTGTGAGTAAAACTGAATATCAGAGAATATAACTTGCAGTTGCAGCTGCAACGTTTTTTAATATTCAACAAACAAATAAATTCTTTACCCAGCGAATAGTGCCTCACCGTCTTTATCTATTTACATTAAACTTGTTTGGTATAATAATAAGTAATGCGCACATTGTGTATGTTGTGCTTGTGGCTCGCCAGGATCACCCTACCGCACTCTGCTCAACTCAGCTGTGCTGAAGCTGCAGGAAATTGGTAAACTACACGCGCTCAAACGCAAGTGGTGGAAGGAGAAACGGGGTGGGGGGACCTGCCAGGTAAGTACCAAGTCTCTAAACTTATAGTTTTCCCACCATTCTTCCAAAATTTTTCCTCATGCCAACAGAAATTACCCTGTACTCAATTTCCTCTTCTTCATCAATATCTTCCTGGTTTCCAGGTTGGCAGATTACTATAATGATTATACACGCATACATGCACGCACGCTCACAAACACACATACACACGCACACACATTCTGAGAGACAGGATGTTCCAGAGATGGGACACAGCAACAAAGAGTCACAATTGGAAGTTGATGACTCATATGAGTCACAGGGATGTTAGGATATATTTCTTCTGTCACAGAGGTGTCAGGAAGTAGAATAGTCTGGAAAGTGATGTAGTGGAGGCAGGATCCATATACAGCTTTAAGAAGAGGTATGATATTACTCATGGAGTAGACAGAAATTGGACTTAGTGGTGACCAGTGAAGAGTCCGGAGCCAGGAGCTATAACTCGACCCCTGCAACCACAATTAGGTGAGTACTAATTATGACCAACTTACGGAAGAGCTAAACTCCCTTAAAACATAACTTTAAAAAAAAAAAATAAAGTTTTAAAGCTAATACTTTTTACATTGTCAAGGATATGAAGATTTTTATTTTTGGATCAATATTGACCAAGACACATCACCTAACTGCCATTTTGCTAATGTAATTTTTTTTTCAAGTAAATTATATTACATATGTCATGGATTAATTTAAATTGATTTACTGTTCCTTAATATTAACTGGTGTTAGTGGGGTAATATTACTGGGGTTAGTGGTGTTAATAAATTTGCTGGGGGTTAGTGATGATGTTAATATTAGCTGGGGTTAGTGATTTTGGTTTAAAATTAGCTGGTGTTAGTGATGTTAATATTAGCTGGTGTTAGTGATTTTATTAATATTAGCTGGTGTTAGTGATGTTAATATTAGCTGGTGTTAGTGATGTTAATATTAGCTGGTGTTAGTGGTGTTAATATTAGCTGGTGTTACTGGTGTTAATATTGGCTGGTGTTAGTGATGATGTTAATATTAGCTGGTGTTAGTGATTTTGTTAATATTAGCTGGTGTTAGTGATGTTAATATTAGCTGGTGTTAGTGATGTTAATATTAGCTGGTGTTAGTGGTGTTAATATTAGCTGGTGTTACTGGTGTTAATATTGGCTGGTGTTAGTGATGATGTTAATAATTAGCTGGTGTTAGTGATTTTGTTAATATTAGCTGGTGTTAGTGATGTTAATATTAGCTGGTGTTACTGGTGTTAATATTGGCTGGTGTTAGTGATGATGTTAATATTAGCTGGTGTTAGTGATTTTGTTAATATTAGCTGGTGTTAGTGATGTTAATATTAGCTGGTGTTACTGGTGTTAATATTGGCTGGTGTTAGTGATGATGTTAATATTAGCTGGTGTTAGTGATGATGTTAATATTACCTGGTGTTAGTGATGTTAATATTAGCTGGTGTTAGTGGTGTTAATATTGGCTGGTGTTAGTGATGATGTTAATATTAGCTGGTGTTAGTGATTTTGTTAATATTAGCTGGTGTTAGTGATGTTAATATTAGCTGGTGTTACTGGTGTTAATATTGGCTGGTGTTAGTGATGATGTTAATATTAGCTGGTGTTAGTGATTTGTTAATATTAGCTGGTGTTAGTTGATGTTAATATTAGCTGGTTTACTGGTGTTAATATTGGCTGGTGTTAGTGATGGTTAATATTGCTGGTGTTAGTGATGATGTTAATATTAGCTGGTGTTAGTGATGTTAATATTAGCTGGTGTTAGTGGTGTTAATATTGGCTGGTGTTAGTGATGATGTTAATATTAGCTGGTGTTAGTGATTTTGTTAAATATTAGCTGGTGTTAGTGATGTTAATATTAGCTGGTGTTACTGGTGTTAATATTGGCTGGTGTAAGTGATGATGTTAATATTAGCTGGTGTTAGTGATTTTGTTAATATTAGCTGGTGTTAGTGATGTTAATATTAGCTGGTGTTACTGGTGTTAATATTGGCTGGTGATAGTGATGTGTTAATATTAGCTGGGGTATAGTGATGATGTTAATATTAGCTGGTGTTAGTGATGTTAATATTAGCTGGTGTTAGTGGTGTTAATATTGGCTGGTGTTAGTGATGATGTTAATATTAGCTGGTGTTAGTGATTTTGTTAATATTAGCTGGTGTTAGTGATGTTAATATTAGCTGGTGTTACTGGTGTTAATATTGGCTGGTGTTAGTGATGATGTTAATATTAGCTGGTGTTAGTGATTTGTTAATATTAGCTGGTGTTAGTGATGTTAATATTAGCTGGTGTTACTGGTGTTAATATTGGCTGGTGTTAGTGATTGTGTTAATATTAGCTGGTGTTAGTGATTTTGTTAATATTAGCTGGTGTTAGTGATGTTAATATTAGCTGGTGTTACTGTGTTAATATTGGCTGGTGTTAGTGATGATGTTAATATTAGCTGGTGTAGTGATTTTGTAATATTAGCTGGTGTTAGTGATGTAAATATTAGCTGGTGTTAGTGGTGTTAATATTGGCTGGTGTTATTGATGATGTTAATATTAGCTGGTGTTAATGATTTTGTTAATATTAGCTGGTGTTAGTGATGTTAATATTAGCTGGTGTTAGTGAAGTTAATATTAGCTGGTATTAGTGGTAATATTATTATTGTTACTTTACACAGCCCCCTGCCATCATGTGATGCCACCAGCGTGTCTCACTTTACACTGCCCCCTGCCTCATTGTGTGCCACAGCGTATCTCACTTTACACTGCCCCCTGCCATCATGTGGTGCCACCAGCGTGTCTCACTTTACACTGCCCCCTGCCATCATGTGGTGCCACCAGCGTGTCTCACTTTACACTGCCCTCCGTCATGTGGTCCACCAGCGTGTCTCACTTTACACTGCCCCTGCCATCATGTGGTGCCACCAGATGTCTCACTATTACACTGCCCCCTGCATCATGTGTGCCACCACGTGTCTCACTTTAACTGCCCCCTGCATCATGTGTGCCACCAGCGTGTCTCACTTTACACTGCCCTGCCTCATGTGTGCCACCAGCGTGTCTAACTTACACTGCCCCCTGCTATCATGTGGTGCCACCAGCGTGTCTAACTTTACACTGCCCCTGCCACATGTGGTGCGCCATGATGTCTCACTTTACAGCCCCCTGCATCATGTAGTGCCACCAGCGTGTCTCACTTTACACTGTCCCAGCCATCATTGTGGAGCCACCAGAGTGTTCTTTACTTTACTTTACTGCCCTAACCATCATGTGGTGCCACCAGCGTGTCTCACGTTACACTGCCCTGCATCATGTGGTGCCACAGCGTGTCTCACTTTACACTGCCCCCTGCTATCATGTAGTGCCACCTAGCGTGTCTCACTTTACACTGTCCAGCTATCATGTGGTGCCACAGAGTGTCTTACTTTACACTGCCCTCCTACCATCATTGGTGCCACCAGGTGTCTCACTTTACACTGCCCCTGCCATAGTGGTCCACCAGCGTGTCTCTTACACTCCCCTGCCATCATGTGGTGCCACCATGACGTTTGTTCACTTTACACTGCCCCCTGCCATCATGTGGTGCCACCAGCGTGTCTCACTTTACACTGTCCCCAGCCATCATGTGGTGCCACCAGCGTGTCTCACTTTACACTGCCCCCTGCCATCATGTGGTGCCACCAGCGTGTCTCACTTTACACTGCCCCCTGCCATCATGTGGTGCCACCAGCGTGTCTCACTTTACACTGCCCCCTGCCATCATGTGCTGCCACCAGCGTGTCTCACTTTACACTGCCCCCTGCCATCATGTGGTGCCACCAGCGTGTCTCACTTTACACTGCCCCCTGCCATCATGTGGTGCCACCAGCGTGTCTCACTTTACACTTCCCCTGCCATCATGTAGTGCCACCAGCGTGTCTCACTTTACACTGCCCCCTGCCATCATGTGGTGCCACCAGCGTGTCTCACTTTACACTGCCCCTGCCATCATGTAGTGCCACCAGCGTGTCTCACTTTACACTGCCCCCTGCCATCATGTGGTGCCACCAGCGTGTCTCACTTTACGCTGCCCCCTGCCATCATGTGCTGCCACCAGCGTGTCTCACTTTACGCTGCCCCCTGTCGTCATGTGCTGCCACCAGCGTGTCTCACTTTACACTGCCCACTGCCATCATGTGGTGCCACCAGCGTGTCTCACTTTACACTGCCCCCTGCCATCATGTGGTGCCACCAGCGTGTCTCACTTTACACTGCCCACTGCCATCATGTGGTGCCACCAGCGTGTCTCACTTTACGCTGCCCCCTGCCATCATGTGCTGCCACCAGCGTGTCTCACTTTACGCTGCCCCCTGCCGTCATGTGCTGCCACCAGCGTGTCTCACTTTACACTGCCCACTGCCATCATGTGCTGCCACCAGCGTGTCTCACTTTACGCTGCCCCCTGCCGTCATGTGCTGCCACCAGCGTGTCTCACTTTACACTGCCCCCTGCCGTCATGTGCTGCCACCAGCGTGTCTCAGAGCCTGGAGTTTGCCTTCCTCTTGCAAACTTAAAATTACCCATGTAATGGCGTTCGTGTAGGTGAACCCGGGTAAGGAACTGTTCGATAAAAACAATTAAAAACAAAGTCAGTCCCACATTACTGAGACTGATAAGGAAGACAAGGGAAGAATCACTTGAAAATCGTATTAATTGTATGAGTTTGGTGTTCGCAAGTTTGAGAGGAGAGCACAGAACACGAGTGGCAACTTGGATATACAGAGTGTCAGAACACAGGAACCTATGTAAACAATGATGCTGGAAACGTACCTCTAGTGGGAAAAGTTTTGGTCGTAAATGGTCAACAACTAAAGTAAAAGAACTGAAATCACTGGTTTTCATGCAGTCATAAACAAAGATCAAATTATAAAGAGCAATATATTACGAAAATTAAGACAAATCATAAGCAAAATAAATGAGAGTAGTCGTCCAGTTCAGCCTAGTTGGCGAGGCTTCACTTTGTCGAATA